TGTGGATGAAGCTCAGAATTTCCACACTGAAAATGGGGACTTATATGGGAAGGCAAAAGCCATCACTCAGAGGGAAAAGGAAGCCCAGAAATTCTCTGGAACTTTCTGAACCATTTTCAGACCAGCCACTTGGATGTTAGTGGTCTCCCTCCTCTTTCATCCCAGTAGCCAAGAGCTCACCAGAGTGATGCCCAATGCAGATGAAGTCGCCCAATGCAGATGAAGTCGCCCAATACCTACCAGAAGTGATGAAGGTCATTAGAAGAAAACCACCTTGCACCATCCCCCATGGGTCCTTGGAGGGGCTTATGAAAGCTGAACAACTTCGGGGTTCTAAGGAACTATGCAAATTGAGAGAGAGATGAGAAATGTGAGCCACTGCATCTGCATTTTTTCCTGAATTCTTGAAATTTGTCTTTGCTGTATTGATTCGGGACATGGAAGATTCCCGAGATAATTCAGTCTCTGAATTAATTATCTCAAGCATTTGGCAGAACAAAGAGCACTGGTCTGGATATGTAAGGTACTTCATTTGCCCTTTTTCAGAGAAATTTTAGACAAAGAGAAAGCACACATACACCTCTTTTTTTTTTTTTCTGGATTTCAACAGAAGATTGTATTATGGAACAGAATCAGATTCTATAGGTGTGTATAAGCTCCTAAGGAACAGGAATAGGAAAGAAAGTCTTTTAAAATCTACAGGTCTTCTGGGGATGTCACTTCGTGGTAGATTCTTGCCAAGCAAGCCTCCGGTCCTGGGTTAGACTCACGTGGATACATCCCAACATCAATAGGTTGAAATGACGAACTCTCATCTCAGTTCTACTTACTAGTGCATAATACAGCTACTGAAGTATTAATTCCATGGTTTTTTTTTTTTACCATTTTTGTTAAGAATTTTCCATTTGTTATTTTTAGTTGTATAGGACAGTAGAGTGTATTTTGACATATTATACATAAGTAGGGAGGGAAGAATAAAAGTATTGAGTCAGTGATTGTCCTCCTTCTCTTTCATAGCATAGTGAGCTGAATGTTATGAGCTGAATGTTTGT